ATTGGATTAAATATGAAATTCTGTTAGTGGCTACTTTTTTCATCAACGAATCCATTAGGTTTAACTTCAAAGTTTTCCTTAGATTTGTTTTGAGTATAACATAACTGGCAAACAAAATTGGCATTTGTTGTTCAGACTCCAAAGTGAAGAAAGATTTACATTGTCATGGAAAATATTAGGCTTCAAGAGAGTGCAGGAGAAAGATGATAGACGTCTTTGAGCTTTGTTCTTCATGCTTGACCAGGAACACAATGCCCCCATCTCAGAAGCCTTGAGAAGATCATATTAAATTATTAGATTTTTATTTTCTTCTGAAAAACACTAAATTTTATTTTATTTGGCTGACTACTATGCTCAATTGTATTTTCTGATAACCTAAATAATACTTCTTTGATCAAACAAATAAAACCTAAATAATACTTCCTCTAAGTTTATTAATATTTTAAGTTGTTCATCACATATATTAACACAGTAATTTTTTTTTTTTTGCTTATTACGTTTGGTGAGCTTTTAAATTAATATTTTACTTGTTTTCTAAGTCTATCACTAGTATTTTTACATTTTTATTTATGTTTTAGTCTCAGAGTAAAATGCATATTACTACGTAATATTTTTTTTTTGTAATTACAAAACTAAAACTAAATATCTTAAAATGGACGAATTTTTTTAAGAATAATTTATTTACTTCAAAAGTGTTGAAACTTATTAAGTTCTTCTTCTTAGGCTGCTGTCTTTTGGACTCTCTGCTTAAACCCCCGAAGATGGCTTCATGCTTAGTGTTGTCTCTAAAGCTCAATCCTTGCTTCAATCCTCTTTACCCCTTCACGCCATGTTCCTATTCTCCGCCGCTCCGTCTCTCCTTGTGCAACTCCCGCCGCTTCTACTCTCCGGTCACCGTTAACGCCGTTAAGAAAACCTCACAGAGCATTCCTTCCGATTTCGATGACAGAATTAACGGCTCTGACTCCGATTCCCGCTTCCTCGACCGTGTAACTTACTCTCCATTGATTATTTTATCTGTCTAGTGCCTTATTGGATTCATCTTAGCTGAAAATTTTTTTTTTTTTTTTTGGTCAAAATGTTAAAATTTTGGTCTGAAAATTCTTAACATTTCGGTCGTTTTTTTTTTCCACATTTTATTACAATTTTGGTCTGAAAGTGCTGACCTTTGGACATGGGTAATTCAGACAAGAGAGTTTCTTGCTTTGGTCAGTAGTCTATGGATTGAAAAGGAGTTCCTTTTTTATTTTTTTGAAAAGGAGTTTCATTTTTGTTTTTTTTTTGAAAAGGAGTTTCATTTCTCTCATTTAGCAGTTTCTAGCATTGTTTCTGAGTAGTCTACTCTTGTTGTTTGAGTTCTTTGTCTTACTAGCCTTTTGTGTTTTCTTGGCTTGTGCACAGCAAAAGGCTTTAGAAGCAGCTATGAATGACATTAATGGTTCTTTTGGTAAAGGAAGTGTCACAAGGTTGGGGAGTGCTGGTGGAGCTTTAGTGTGAGAATCTCTCATCTTGATACTCTTTATTTATTCTATACTTGAATTGTCCACTCCTCAGTAGCATTGTGGCAGGAACAACGATGGCACTACACACCTTAATTCCACCATTTGAGATTGTGAAACTTTTGTTTATAATTGTAGGGAGACTTTTCCGAGTGGTGTTTTGACGCTTGATCTTGCCTTAGGTGGAGGCCTGCCAAAGGGTCGAGTAGTCGAGGTATGCGCACTTGCTGAGACTTTTGATTCATAAGAAAGAAAAGTTGATTATAATCTGATACTGGTGCAGATATATGGACCAGAAAGTAGTGGCAAGACCACGCTAGCACTCCATGCAATTGCTGAAGTGCAGGTTACACTTCTTGTCAACCACTTCGATCAGATAATTCCATCTTTCTCTAAAACATAGTTTGCTGACTGCGCAGAAGCTTGGAGGCAATGCGATGCTTGTTGATGCAGAGCATGCCTTTGATCCATCATACTCTAAAGCATTAGGTGTTGATGTTGAAGATCTTATAGTGTGTCAGCCAGATAATGGAGAGATGGCTTTAGAAAGTAATCCAAGAACACTCTAAGTCCTAGTCTTATGAAAGTTATTTTCATGTGAGCTAACTTGTTCTTTCTTTTTACTCACACAGTTGCAGACCGTATGTGTCGTTCTGGTGCAGTTGACCTTATATGTGTTGATTCTGTCTCAGCACTTACTCCACGTGCCGAGATTGAAGTATGATATAATGTCTAACATGTAACTTCTTCATGGTGTGAATTTCTCTGGCTTGAATTTGTTTTGCTCTCATGTTTCATGCTTAGGGTGAGATTGGAATGCAGCAAATGGGATTGCAAGCTCGTCTTATGAGTCAAGCTCTTCGTAAAATGTCAGGAAACGCCTCTAAAGCTGGTTGTACACTCATTTTCCTAAACCAAATTAGATACAAGGTAGCGATAATTGATAACTAATCAGTAATCACTCACCTTCTATGTAGTGTTCTTGAACTAACATTGCTGTTATCTTATGCTATGAAGATTGGTGTGTACTACGGTAATCCAGAGGTGACTAGCGGAGGAATTGCCTTGAAGTTCTTTGCGTCGGTTCGGCTAGAAATTCGGTCAGCAGGGAAGATCAAATCTGTAAGCATAACAGTTCCATTAACACTGTAGTTTATATTTGTGTGGCTGTAACTCATTTCTAATTTCCAATTACTTGTTTAAAGAGCAAAGGGGATGAAGATATTGGTCTCCGGGCTCGTGTAAGAGTGCAGAAGAGCAAGGTTAGTATGAATGAAGGCATAACATATCAAGTTAAGCTATAAAGAGAAGTGAATTTATCCCTTATATGTTTACAGGTTTCAAGACCGTATAAGCAAGCAGAGTTTGAGATTATGTTCGGAGAAGGAGTCAGTAAACTGGTATGCATCATCCATCAGTCTCTGATAATACATAAACGTTTTTCCTTGTTTTAACTTAAACCTAAAACCTGTAGGGATGTGTTCTTGATTGTGCTGAAATTATGGAGGTTGTGGTGAAGAAAGGTTCTTGGTACAGCTACGAAGACCAAAGGTCTGGATTCTACACTGTAATCTCGAGACATTTTGAAAGAAGTGATAGTTTACAGATTGCGCTATATGCATTTGTGTCTTTGGTCTTTGTTTCAGGCTTGGGCAAGGAAGAGAGAAAGCACTGCAGCATCTAAGGGAGAACCCTTCTCTTCAAGACGAGATTGAGAAGGTTTGCTTCGTCCATTCTCTGTGAATGCAAACTCTTTGCATTGATTCATTCTCCTTATGTGTTTTGGTGTTCCTGTAATGGTGTTGCAGAGAGTGAGATTGTTGATGTTAGATGGAGAAGTACATCGATCAACTCCTTTGTTTAGCAGCAGCTCCTCCTCAGTTTCACGTGATGAAGAAGGAGAAGAAGACGCTCTTGACGAGTTCCAATGACTGATTTCTACCAAGATGTTCTAATCAACAACACTCATGTTCATTTCTCGTTTCAATGTATCATTATTTGAAACTCCAAATGGTTCAATCTATAATACTATTCAACTTCTTGTTTTGTATTCATGAACATACATAAACACTGGAGTCCCTTATAAATTCAAAGTATGTTCTTAGCATTACAGAAGAGAGAAAACATATAGAGAAACATGATGTCTTAAAAAGATTTACTGAACCAAAGCACTTGTGTTGTACACAAGAAGAGCTCCTCCGGCGAGAATCCCGGCGAGTGTCACAGCCCAAATAGCCAATCCGGTGACTCCTCCCTTGTACACATCACCACTCGCTGACCACTCATCCTCGTTGTAGATAGGACTGTTAAAAACAATCATCATTACCGTCAAACAACTTATGATATGGTCCTTATAATATACAAATGAAAATGTTAATGGAGACTATTAGTTATTCACCTGTATCCATCAACGTTAGCTCCATACTTGTCAACAAACTTGTAAACACCGTATCCCTGAGATTAACACGACATCGTTTTGAGTGAATCAACTGAACTAAGAAAAAGACACTTGTATCCCTAACATCAAACTATCACTACCTTGCCCTTTCTGCCGGAAGCGTCAACGCCATCCCTCAAGTCCATGCTGCCGTTAACTCCTACAGACAAAACAATCAAACGGAATAAGCTATAGTTTTAACGGTTGCTTGTGTACAAAGGTAGAGTTTGGTGTGTTATATTATAAACGTACCAAAGGGCTTGTCGGTCTTGATCTTCTTGACACCACTCGCGACGATTTTGAAGGAAGACGGAGAAGCTCTTGTGAGCGACGGTAATCCTCTTGCTGACATCTTCTCCACCGTGAAACCAGCAGGTTTCAACGTCACCGATGAAAGCATCATTGAAGCAGCCATGTCTTCTCTTCTCTCTCTGTTTCTTGCCAAGTGCTTGTGTGTGGTCTGGTCTCTTGTAATATGAGAGGTGAAGAAATGCGATAAGTGATTGTGCTTATGGCACGTGGCGGATGCTGTGTGGCTTACAACTGGATATGTTATCTTAATATGCTTCATCAGTTTTGCAACGTTGGATTTACAGTATTTTTGTTATGTATTCAGATTTGTTTTTTTTTTTAAATTTTCTCAGTGTTGTAATCTACTTTAGAGTTAAAAAAATAAAGATGCTATGTGTTTTTACAAAGAAAAATGTGTACATTCTATTAATGTTCATTTGATGAGAATAAACTCAGACGAAGCTGTGTTTAATAGATTTTTTACACATTAAAAAGCTAAATTAAAATTTATACATTATTATTTTATTAATTATTTTTATTTTTAACTAATAGTAATTTAATATTTGTAAATTTAAAATTTATCTTTAGTTAATAAAATTTCGAAATATTTATTTTTGAATAAATTTTGTTTTTATTTTAAACGGATCGTTTTTATTTTGGTTAGACAAAATTTCCCTTATAAATATGGTTTGAGGAAAATAAAAGTTAGAGAAATTGAAACCCGTAAGTTTTCCCTCCTTACATATTACCGAACCTCAATTACATTTTTTTTATTTCAATTTCCTTTAAGCTTTCCTCTCCTCTTCGATCTTTGACCTTCTGAGTAATATATTAAATCACTTAAAGAGTTTCCTTTTCCAGCACCACCGCAATTTCCTCCGGCAGAAGAAACCAAAAAACCCTAAAAATTTGCAATTATACAACGACGAGCAAGAGGTTTGTAAATTTGACCCCTTTCTAATCCCTTCCAGATTCAATTCAAAAACCCTAACCCTAAAATCCTCTTTCAATTGCTTAAAGTCTATTGATTTCGTTTCTCTCTTTGTGTAAAGGAGTCTCCTTTAAGAAGGTGAAAATGAGTAGGCTTTCTTTCAGGCCACGGCCATTAGATATTCATAAGAAGCTTCCTATTTTGAAATCGTTTAAAGACTTTGAAGACGACGACACACCAACTTCCACAACTAGAAACTCTCAGCTTCTGCGTATTGCTTCTTCTGTAGATGTTGACAATGAGGTCTGTTCTGAAATTTTACTTCTAAACTCTGTTTCAATCATTTCATCATTGTTAGTAATGTTAGCAGGTGCATCCAGTGGCAAGGAAGAAACTGGTTTCGGAGATACCAACACCTGAGTTTGTTGTTGTGGATACTTATGAAAGAGACTATTTAGCTACTTTTGGTCAACCTGCTTCTTATCTACGTGCAAGAGGAGGTACTTATTACCTCTGGTTTGATTTTGTATTTCTTGTGAGGAAGGTGGTTAAAAGTTTGTGTTTTTGTTTTGCAGCTCGGTCTGAGCTTGGAGATTTTGTGGAGTATGATCTTGACAATGAGGATGATGACTGGCTTTATGAGTTTGATAAGGATAACAAGCAACTTTCACCTGAAATGTAAACTAATCCATGTGACTATCATGTTCTGTAGTGTATACTCTTCTTATCTTAGATGGATCACTTCGGGCTCTGTTTACTCAAATGTGTTTGTATTATGTTCTGTATTATAGGCTTGAGAGCATTATTTTTAAGCTAGAGGTGTTGGATCACAAAACGAGGGAAAGAGCTGGTGTTATTGCACCTACCCTTGGTTCTCCGGTTCCTGTGCTTTTGCAGCTTGATGCTGCTATTGAGGTATACCTTTACTTTTATTGTGTTTCGTTCTCTTCTGGATTATCACATCTTCTGTTCTTACAGGAGCAGGACATGACATTTGAATTGTTCTTGTCGTCTTCTTATTACAGGCCTTGCAATCACTGTCCATTAATTATGGAGTCTTTCAGGCTATCTTCAACTACTGGAAAGACAAGGTTTGAGCCCTATCTGGCATCATTTAGTTGTTATGAGTTTTTTGGATACAAAGGTTTTGTTGTATAGGTTGATGATACTTTAAAAATCCATTTTGATTTAGTGAGATGAACCTTGTTTGACATATCGTTGGGTCCATGAAGCATATGCATATGTTTGTGGTGGGAGTATTGCCACAGTGCTACTTTTCAGATCACAGACCAGTTCAACATCTGGAGTTCGTTTGGCTACAATACTAATGCATATGTTTCATTATCTTTTTTTTTGTGAACTTAGCGCAAAAGATGGCAGAAACCTGTGTTGCGGCGTTTACAGGTTTGTACCATCAAGTCCCATACCATGTTGGAATGGTTTTCTACTTCGATTACTTGATTAAAGTTTTACTTCTTTTTTTTTGAATAGCCTCCTCCACCGGTCAATGACACCAACCCATACAATGTGTTTAGGCCAAGAGAGAAAGCTCACAGACTCCACACAAGAAGGGTAGGCTGTTATCATCATACTTTTTGTGTATCAATTCATTTAAGCACAACTAGAGAAATAAAAACACTGATAAGTCTTTTACTTCTTCTACTATAGATGCAGAGGAGAGAAAACAATGTGCAGTCATTTGAAAAGCTTCGACAGGTAACCAGAGGCTTTCTTGCTCAAACCAGTCTTAATTTCCTGTAACCTGAGCAGCGTAGCTTTAACAATGCCTTCTTCTAGTTTCTTTTTGGACTGTTATTAATATGTTAGGGCTCCTTTATGATATTATTATTCAGGTTAGACGCAATCTTGAACAAGCGAAGACCATTCTGGAGGCTCTAATTAAGGTGTTGTTTATGACAGTTTTAAGAGTTACATGACTTGTATGTAACTTCATTTCGTATCTTACATCCTCAAAAGTTGCTAATTAAATGTTACTAAATTCTCTAGAGAGAAGAAAAGAAGAGGGATGTGATGGATGGTGAGGTTAGCCTTCAGAGAATGCAACTCCAATACAGGGTATGTACTACTACTTCTCCTAAACCTCTTGTGTGCTTATTTAATGCTTAGTCTGACATTTGCGTATGATATTGCAGCATGAACCAGAACTCTTGGAAGAAACTTTGGCTCAGCATGGCTTCCCACCAGCTACAACATCTTACAAATATGGCTCAAGCGACGAAGAAGAGTTGATGGACTCAGATGACTACACTAGCACACAAGTACGCACAAGACCTCCCGTTATCCCCAACTCTCGTTTCACAAATGGATCTCAACCCTTAGGCATAAAACGAGAAGTTAGAAGAAGACACTCCTCCCATCACAATTGGCTTCACACACTGGTTCAATTCAAACCTTCTCTTAACAACTCCACCTCTCCTCTCTTTGCTATGATGTAATCACTAAACTGGTTTTTTCTTTTAGGATCCTAATGAACCGGTGATGCTGTTCACAAAACCGCTGGTTCCTGAGAAACTTGCAGCTGCAGGGATCGTTCCTCCAGCACCTGGTTCATCAACCGGTCAACCTCCAAGTCGGTTTAAGGGGAGGATTGGGCGTGGCGGCAGGATAATATTTGATAGATGGAATCCTTTGATGCAGTCTCACATTAACTGCGGAGACTCTTTATACATTGCACCAAATCACTAATCTATTTTCACAATTTTTCTTTGTAAAGACTTTTCAATCACACCAATGATGATGATGATGAAGTTTATGTGCCTAAAGTATTTTGCACTTCTTTTTTACTGTTTGTATCCGTTAAGAGCAACGGTTCGGTTATTTCACAAACCGGTTAGGAAAACCAATAATTATTGTGCGAGGGACTAAACTGTAATAATATGTTAAATGCAGGACAAAAATGTAATAGTCTCTTAAATGCGGGGAAAAATTGAATTTAACTTAAGGGATCTTTGTTCTTAGTTTTTTTTTCATTTTTTTTTCTTCTCTCGCTAATCAGAGTAAAGAAGGAAGGATCCTGAATCGAATTTGGGAGCAATGGCTTCGATGCTGGCTCGCAGGTCACTGAATACTTTTCGTGCTCGACAGCTAGTATGAATCTCTCTTTCTCTCGCTCGCTCTTGTGCTTTTGTTTGAATGTCTCCTGGATTTTTGGGAACCAAACAAGACTCTCTGTCTTGTCTTTTTCCAGACAGTGTCTGAAATCGAAACTGTCTGAATCCGACCGAAGCTTTTTGTTCGATTTTCTTAATGTTTTAGATTTTAGAGTGAGAAGGAAATGTGAGAGGGATTAAATTATATCATGATTATGTTCTTGAGGGGGATTCATTGCCATGCTAGTCTCGATAATCATTTTTGGTTCTTTCTTAATTAGCTTCTTGTCTTCATTGATTAGGTTTATTCAGGGCAAGGTTTGCAGGCATCTCATCTTTCTGGATTGCAGTCTCGTGGTATTTCTTATGGCTCCAAGAAAGGTGAATTTTTCTGATTTTTTTTTTGTCCAGGGTGAATCAGGTTGAAGTGTGAGTTTCCCTCTTTCTACGGATCTTTGATGACATGTGTAAATATTCACAGATGATGAAGAAGAGGAGCAACTTGCTAAAGAAATCTCCAAGGACTGGAATACTGGTATTCTCTAATATGATGCCGTAGACACCTTCTTACATTCTTCTTTTTTCTCATACTTATCATTGCGTTTGTTTTTATTATTAATTTTATTTTTGCAGTATTTGAACGGAGTATAAACACACTGTTTCTCACTGAAATGGTCCGTGGTCTGTCGTTGACACTCAAGTACTTCTTTGATCCCAAAGTTACTGTGAGTAACATCCTATTTTCCCAGCCCTTTCAAATCTTTGATTGAAAGAAACTCTTTATGATTCTGAAGCTATTTCCTGTCTCTGCAGATTAATTATCCATTTGAGAAAGGTCCACTGAGCCCTCGCTTCCGTGGTGAACATGCTCTTCGACGTTATCCTACTGGGGAAGAACGCTGCATTGCCTGCAAACTCTGTGAAGCTGTGAGCTTTGAATTCTATGCTAAGGCTTTTATTTAATGTTGTCTTTGTATTCATAGCTTTTGTAAGGCATCTCAGAACGCCGCGTACCTTTGTAAGATTGTTAATCCATCATGCTGTGGAGAACCGGTTCTGCTATATGGGCCATAGCTCAGGATCATAGACTGATGCTTGTGGATTTGATCGCAGCTAGTAAGAGAATCATTTGAGTATCAGTAATAGTTACTGTTTAAGTCACTAAAGACTTTATCAAATGCTTATATCTGCTGACAATTTTCTACCACATAGTATCGTAGATAGCCATGGGATAACTTCTTACCTTAAATTGTGAATAATTGAGAGGGATACTTGTTTATTTCATCAGGTGTGTCCAGCTCAAGCAATCACAATAGAAGCAGAGGAGCGGGAAGATGGAAGCCGCAGAACCACTAGGTCACAGACACCTCTTCATTTTATTAAACCATATATGCTTTTCTTTGTTACCGTATCATGATGATGATTTGGAGCTCTGCTACAGGTACGACATTGACATGACAAAATGCATATACTGTGGTTTCTGTCAAGAAGCTTGCCCCGTTGATGCAATTGTCGAAGGACCTAACTTCGAATTCGCAACAGAGACACACGAGGTCAGGATTTATCACATTCTCTAGACATAATAATAATAATAACTTGGTGGCAGGCAACATTGAACCTATTATGTGTTCCCCTTTTGATAGGAACTTCTGTATGACAAAGAAAAGCTTCTTGAGAATGGAGATCGATGGGAGACTGAGATTGCTGAGAATCTCAAATCAGAGTCTCTCTACCGTTGAAACCATTATACCACAGTCTTTTGCTTCAAGTTAGAAATAAAAGATGCAATCTTATGCGTTTGAAAACTCTCTTGTATTTTTCATGGTTCTAAAAATGGGTTGGGTGTAGGCGGCATATTGGTCTGAGGCGAAACGATTTTAAAAAATTTGATTTAGACGGTTTAAACTGTTTTAAATCGATATAAATCACTTTAAATCCATTCTGTTAAATTAAGTAATAATGCAGTATAAATAATAAAATAGTGTAATTTTTATTTATTTGTATATCTAATTTTGATAAGACATCAAAATGGTTTTATAAATAAACTCAAAAATTAGATATTTTATATAAAAATAAAATATATATCTTTTATTATATACTAGATTTTGATCCGAACATATAATAAATTAATACATAAAAAATGTATGATGTTGTCATTGAGTCAATTGGTATTATTTAACTTTTAAGTTTTTTTTATATCATTTTAAATTTTATTTCATATTGAGTTTGGTTAAAATTTTTATATATGAATCTTTAGGCTTAAGTACAAAATTGATAACAATTCATCTATACATCATATGATTATTAAATATAAATTTTTCGTAAAAATTATGTGGAAAAACGACCTTTTAATTTAAAATAAATTTCACATAACATATGTAAAAATAATCATAAAACTATATTTCTATGTTTTTATAAAATTAAAACATCAATAATTCGTTAACATTACCAATCTCTTGAACATTGGTATTTCTACTGCTATGTATCGTGTATACCGTTCATAAATTCTGGTTTAAGTGTTTAATTTTCCGGTTTGGAAGAATAGCATTGTTTGCTAAACAAGATAACTACAAGGATGAAGTTGCAAATTAATAAAAGTTTTGATCGGACGGACAGGAACCTACATATGCGTAGTTAATTGATTCTGAATTGTCCGATTTAACCATTTTGCGGCGCGAGTTTTTCATTTTTTTGCGCCTTTTTGTTGCGCCAATTATCGCATTCAGACATCAAAATTAATATTTAAATATGTCTTTTTGTTACTATTTTAGTAAGAAAAAAAAATCAAAATCCCCAAATCGAACCTTAGTCCTACACAAAAATAAAAATCCCTAATTCCACGAACTCTGTGCTCAGAAAAATCCTCCGATTCAGGAATCATTTCTATACAGCTTGATCCGAGTTCACACGTGGCGCATCATCGTAGCTTGCGATTGGTTTGTTCGAGAATTTTCTATCTGGGTTTCTGCTCTTACTTGCAAAAGATTGCTCCTTTGTGTATCAATTCAAAGGTTAGGGTTTGATAATTTAAGTGGCTTTCAGGGTTTAATTTTGACATTGACTTGATTAATTTGGGTTTAATTGGGTTTGTTGATAAAGACTTTTCTGAAGAGCTAATTCAGGAGATGAAATTTGGATGTGGAGGAGAGGAGGAGAGTTATGCGGTGTTTATTACTGTTAGTTACTAAAAGAACTAGAACAAGGAGAAGAAGACGTAAGTGTTGAACAATGAATGTTCAGACTCACTTGTCTGGACAGGTTTCGAACCAAGGGACCATGTCTCAGCAGAATGGCAACTCCCAAATTCAGAATTTAGCTACTGGTGGTGGTGGTGGTGGTGTTCCTGTTGGTACTGGTTTAGGACCTTCACGTGGTGACAATGATCTCTTGAGACTTCGGCATGGCATGCGAATCAAGATGTAAGCTTGCACTTGTGTTGGTTAGCTGTTTAATTCACTCAAAATACTTGTTTAAAAAAAAAAAATTGCAGTGTCATATTTTTGCTATTTGGCTATGCTTTTTGTTCTTTCCAGTTTCAGCATCTTACAGCAAAAACAACCATCACCAGCTGATGAGGCATCAAAGGCAAAGTATATGGATGTTGCTAGACGCTTAGAGGAGGGGTTGTTTAAAATTGCCAACTCAAAGGTATTTTTGAACAAGATTCATGTGCTTAAGTATTTTACATGTTACCCTCTAGACTCACCTTGTTGACTAATGTGCTAAGAGTTAAAACATTTTTTGTTTTACTAATGTGTGCCACTTTGAATTTGAACTACAGGAAGATTACTTGAATCAGTCGACCCTTGAATCTCGGCTGGCAAGTCTAATCAAAGGCAGACATATGAATAACTACAATCAGCGACATGCTAATGCATCTACGGTTGGAACAATGATACCCACTCCTGGATTACAACATGGTGGTGGGAATCCAAATATGATGATGACATCCTCTGTTGATGCTACAATGGCTGGAAGTAATAACATTACAACTAATGCTATGAACACTGGAAACATGCTGAATTCTACTGGTGGCATGCTCGGAGGTTCTTTCATGACAACTTATATTAGATATTTTAGAATGTTTTTCTGCTTATAGTTCTCTTAACACTTTTACTTGTTGTGTTTCAGGTAACATGTCTAATGGATACCAGCATTCATCGAGTAACTTTGGTCTTGGTTCTGGAGGGAACATAGCATCAACGAGCTCACAAAGAAATACTGGTCAAATGATGCCTACCCCTGGATTTGTCAACAGCGGTATTAATAACAATAACAACAATAGCCAGTCTTACTTGAATGTTGAAGCTTCCATTGCCAACAATAGTGTTGGATTTTCTGCTGCGCCCATGATGGTACCTCAGCCTCATCACCAGCAACAGCAACAGCAACAGCAACCGAGGCAGGATATTGGTGGCCAAAATAGTCGTATCTTGCATAACCTTGGAAGTCAAATGGGTGTTGGCCTTAGACCTGGGATGCAACCAAAAATGTCTAACAGCTCCAACGGTGGTGTTGGGATTAATGCAAAAGGTGTTGATTCAGGTTCCATAAATTCACAGCAGGCTTATAATAGCCTTCAGCGTCCAGGAATAAAGAGTAAATATTTTTATTTGTAACTCTTTTTTGGAGGGCTTGTTCATCAGATTATTTTATTTTATGTTATTTACTCTTTCAGGTGAAGGATATGTCACAAATAATGCTGACCCATTCTGTTCTGGAAATTTGTATGGTGCTACAACATCTGTTGGGACGTTGACAAATACTCAGAATACCAATACGGCAAGTTTTCAGTCTATGTCTGGAAATGGCTCTACTCTGGTAAGGACTGATCAAAATTCACTTTCAGTTGCCACAAGTGCACCAGTGAAACATCAGTCACTTTGTCAATCTGAGAATATTGGATTCTAATTAATTTCTGTACACTTTTGCAGTCACATCAACAGCCTAATCGGTTTCAGCAACAACCTAATCAAATTCACCAACAGCAGCAGCAGTTTCTACGTCAACGGCAAATGAAGCTGCAGAGCCAGCAGCAACAGAGATTTATAAGTGATGAAGCTTTTGGGCAAAACCATGTGGCCTCTGACATGGTTACACACGTTAAACATGAACCTGGAATTGAGAACCCTAGCAATTCTATCCACTCCCAAACTCATGAGCAATTTCAGCTTTCTCAGTTTCAAAATCAATACCAGAACAATGCAGATGACCATCATGCAGGCTCTCAGACTCTCCCTACCACAAGTCAGAGTGATATTTGCACATCAGTTCCCCAACATAGCCAACAGATACAGCAGATGTTGCACCCGCAGAATATGGCTTCCGACTCTATGAACAGTTTTAATAACGTTTCTGTTGGAGTGAAATCAGAATCTGGTCTGCAAGGTCACTGGCAATCTCAGTCACAGGAACATGCTCAAATGTCTAATAGTATGTCGAACGAACGGCACATTCAGGATGATTTTCGTCAAAGAATGTCAGGAACGGATGAAGCTCAGCCCAATAACACGTCTGGAGGGTCTATTGTAGGTCAAAGTCATATCTCCACTACATCAGAATCTCCTCAAAACCCTGCTGGTGCCACTTGTAGATATGGAAATGAAAACCAAGATCCGAGATTTAGAAACCAACAGAAATGGCTCCTGTTCCTACGCCATGCTCGCAACTGCAAAGCGCCTGAAGGGAAGTGTCCAGAGCGGAACTGCGTTACGGTTCAGAAGCTCTTGAAGCACATAGACAGTTGTGCTGTACCTCAGTGCTCATATCCTCGTTGCCGCCCCACAAAGACACTGATTAATCACCATCGAAGTTGTAAGGAATCTAACTGTCCTGTGTGTATTCCTGTGAAGGCCTTCTTACAGCAACAGGCAAATGCACGGTACCTAGCTCGTTTAAAAACTGAAACCGCTGCTGCGAGGTCAGTAGATGGAGCTGGAATATCCAATGATGCAGTACAGACCTCTGCTGGAGCAATCTCTTGTGCTTCGCCTCGTGATGATATTTCAAATCATTTGCAACCTTCATTGAAACGGTTGAAGGTGGAGCAGTCTTCTCAACCTGTCGACGTTGAGACGGAAAGTTGTAAAAGCTCTATTATTTCCGTAACAGAAGCACAATCATCTCAGCATGCTGAAAGGAAAGATCATAGGAACAGTGATGTACGTGCATCTTCAAAGTATTTTGAAGTGAAAGCTGAGCTTTGTGAAGGTTCTGTCCAGGCACGACCCAGTTTTAAAGAGAGAACAAATGGAATTGCTGAAAATATTCCCAAGCAAAGACCTGTCATTGAATCTGTTAAACAAGATTTGCCTGATCCCTCACCTCGGCAAGAGAAGTGCAAAATGGAGAAAGTATCTGAGTCACTAAAGGAAGAAAGTTTGGCAGAGTCTAAACCTCCACCAAAATCTGGAAAAGCAGAGATAAAGGGTGTTTCATTAACTGAGTTGTTCACCCCTGAGCAAGTTAGAGAACATATACGTGGTCTCCGTCAGTGGGTTGGCCAGGTTTGTAATTTCTTAGCGTATGAAATTACATAATAAGGATGAAGGTTTGATTGAGCTATTCTCTCAAGCACCTTTGTCCATATCTATCTAAAAAAGATATTTGCTTAATGATGAATCTGTTCTCCTTTATGTGCTTGCAGAGTAAAGCAAAAGCAGAAAAGAATCAGGCTATGGAGCATTCAATGAGTGAGAATTCCTGTCAACTATGTGCGGTGGAGAAGCTTACCTTTGAGCCACCACCTATATATTGTACCCCTTGTGGCGCCCGCATCAAGAGGAATGCTATGTATTACACTGTAGGAGCTGGTGACACTCGTCATTACTTTTGTATTCCATGTTATAATGAATCCCGTGGGGACACTATACTCGCTGAAGGGACGCCTATACCTAAGGCAAGACTCGAGAAAAAGAAAAATGATGAAGAAACTGAAGAATGGGTAAACGACTATCCACTCTGTAGTTCTGTTTTGTGTTTGTCTCCTTATTGTAGTACATTCTGTAATCTATATCTACCTTTGCAGTGGGTCCAATGTGATAAATGTGAGGCCTGGCAGCATCAGATCTGTGCTTTATTTAATGGACGAAGGAATGACGGAGGGCAAGCTGAGTATACCTGCCCTTATTGCTATATAGCAGAAGTGGAACAAAGTAAGAGGAAGCCTTTACCTCAGAGTGCTGTTCTTGGAGCCAAAGACCTACCGAGAACGATTCTCAGTGACCATATAGAGCAGCGGTTGTTTAAGAAGCTGAAGCAGGAACGAACAGAGAGAGCCAGGGCTCAAGGAAAAAGTTTTGATGAGGTAATCTATGTGGCGTTTGTAAAGTTTTATGTCTTTCATGTATTTCATTGTTTTTTTCTTTGACTTGATACTGGCAGGTTCCTACTGCCGAGTCCCTTGTGATTAGAGTTGTTTCATCTGTTGACAAGAAGCTGGAAGTAAAACCCCGATTTCTTGAAATTTTTCGGGAAGACAGTTACCCAACAGAATTTGCATACAAGTCCAAGGTAAGAATGATCAAGGCTCATTGTCATTTTGTGAATTTATGCACTTTCTATTGACATGCTATTAAGTATCCTTCCCGTTCTCCACACCATTTTATTTTGCCAGGTGGTTCTGTTGTTCCAAAAGATTGAAGGTGTAGAAGTGTGCTTATTTGGGATGTACGTCCAAGAATTTGGTTCTGAATGCTCATTTCCTAATCAACGCCGAGTTTATCTCTCTTATTTGGATTCTGTAAAGTACTTTAGACCCGAGGTTAGATCTTATTACGGAGAGGCTCTGCGTACTTTCGTTTACCACGAAATTCTGGTAACTCCTGGTCTTCTTAAACATCATTTATTAGCCACAAAACTGTACGGAGGATTAAGGGTATGATTTGATCCTATGTTTAGATCGGTTACCTAGAATACTGCAAGTTGCGTGGTTTCACGAGCTGCTACATATGGGCTTGTCCGCCTCTCAAGGGCGAGGACTATATCTTGTATTGTCATCCTGAAATCCAGAAGACGCCAAAATCTGATAAACTACGAGAGTGGTACCTATTTGGAATAAGCTTCATAAATTTTTGTATGAAAAAATCATTTACATAAAGCCAAATACTCATGTTGTTCATTGCAGGTACTTAGCAATGCTGAAAAAAGCTTCAAAGGAGGGCATTGTCGCAGAAACTATAAATCTATATGACCATTTCTTTATGCAAACTGGTGAATGTAGAGCTAAGGTCACTGCAGCTAGGCTCCCATATTTCGATGGTGATTACTGGCCAGGTGCAGCAGAGGATCTTATATACCAAATGAGTCAAGAAGAAGATGGCAAAAAGGGAAATAAGAAAGGAATGCTCAAGAAAACAATTACAAAAAGAGCTCTAAAAGCTTCTGGTCAGACTGATCTATCTGGGAATGCATCCAAGGATCTGCTGCTAATGCATAAAGTAATCATTACTTTGTATACATTTTACTTTCTTTTTGTTTTTGTTCTTGTTAATTACATTCACCTTTGTTTCCAGCTTGGTGAGACCATTCACCCAATGAAGGAGGACTTTATCATGGTCCACCTGCAACCTTCTTGCACACATTGCTGTATGCTGATGGTATCTGGAAACCGTTGGCTCTGCAGTCAGTGCAAATACTTTCAGATTTGTGATAAGTAAGAACCCTTCCCTTTCTCTTCTGCTCTTTGCGTTTATAAGAATCTTACTGATTTAAGAAAATGATATTCTCCCTTTCAGGTGTTATGAAGCTGAACAGCGGCGTGAAGACAGGGAAAGACATCCTGTTAATTTTAGGGATAAGCATGCGCTGTACCCTGTGAGTTATTAGGATAGTGTCCTTCAGCTTTTGTATGTGATCAGTTTTATGAATGTTGGTGGTATTGTTTTTTGCAGGTTGAGATTACAGATATTCCTGCAGATACGAGGGACAAGGATGAAATACTAGAAAGCGAGTTTTTCGACACTAGGCAAGCGTTTCTGAGTCTTTGTCAAGGGAACCACTATCAGTACGACACGTTGAGGCGTGCAAAACATTCGTCAATGATGGTCCTTTATCATCTGCATAACCCAACTGCTCCTGCCTTTGTCACGACCTGCAATGCGTGTCACCTCGACATTGAGACTGGCCAAGGCTGGCGCTGTGAAGTATGTCCAGACTACGATGTGTGCAATTCCTGTTACAGTAGAGATGGTGGAGTTAATCATCCTCACAAGTTGACTAATCATCCATCTTTAGCTGATCAAAATGCTCAGAACAAAGAAGCAAGACAGTTGCGTGTCTTGCAGCTTAGGAAAATGCTGGAACTTCTTGTACATGCATCACAATGTCGTTCCGCAAATTGTCAGTATCCAAATTGCCGGAAAGTGAAGGGACTATTCCGACATGGTATACAGTGCAAAGTGCGTGCTTCAGGAGGTTGTGTTCTCTGCAAAAAAATGTGGTATCTTCTGCAACTCCACGCTCGGGCCTGCAAGGAATCTCAATGCCATGTACCTCGTTGCAGGTAAACAAACTTTATGATGATTCATGAAATACATTAACCACTGTGGTTCATTTGAATTTTGTGTTGATGATCGTTGTGAACTTCAGTGACCTGAAGGAGCATTTAAGAAGATTACAACAGCAATCAGATTCACGGCGAAGAGCAGCTGTGATGGAAATGATGAGACAAAGAGCTGCAGAGGTCGCTGGAGGATCAGGTTAACTTGTACATTTGGAAAGAACAAATCAAAGTTCCTATCTCGCAGAGGTTACAAGATATGTAACCAACTTCACTAAAGCTCCAACAACTTGATCATTATCCTTCTGAAGACGAACAAGATTAAGACAAGGCGGTTAGAGACTAATGGTTAGCTTAGGTGCGTAAGTAACATGCAGCGCAGAGTGTGACTTGAATTCATCAGAAGAAGAGCAAAGTCGAGTCTTCTTCAGAGATGAGAGAGTCTTGAGTTACACGGTTAGTAGATTTGATGTGGGTTTGGATGGGTGATCTTATGATTATAGACTATACACACGCACACACACTTCCTCACTTGTTACTATTTATAGTAATTTATTTGTATTTTTGTAAAATTGTCATTTCTGATTTGGGAATGGCAATTGTGTAACATATACAATACCTGAACTTGTTTCTTGCAAGGAAAGTAAGATAGAGATAGAATGTTTGTCTTAGATTCTCTCTTCCATTTTTTATGTTTTGATGAAACTGTAATCACACTTGTAAGTTGTAATCATAGTTATTTCGTTCTTGAGTTGGCCTTATGGTACTAATTACTATTTTTTTTCAAATTGTGTGTGATTATACCATTCTGGCATACGAGATAGGCAACTAAACTGCAATACTTGTACATTCCATAATAATACGAATAGAGAGGCAACTGCATTTAAGAAAGCCATGGTTTCATATCAAGAAAAAATAATATTTAGAGCAATTTTGAACGTGATAATAGCCGAGATAAATACAAAAAAATTATTCTGTATTTTTGGTTTTGTTTTTATCTACCGTTCATTGCAAGGCAAGTTTCAAGAGGTTATCAAAGAGAGATGTGATCGTTTGAATTTACACCATCTGTTACACTTTTTTCAATATTAAAAAAAAAAAGTCAAACCACACAAATGAATTTATCTTATAACCTACCTGAAATTAGATTATCAGCCAAAAATAAAACCCTTAAATTAACTACCATTAGAAAAAGAGGAAATCCTCTAACCCATTACAAAGTCAATCTTTTTTTAAACATTTGTTTTTCATCTTCTGAAATCAAATTGAAGTTTTTGTTTTCTCCTAAAGAGACAAAAGAAAAAGGACTTTTTTTAATTTATTTCTTCCTTGTGTTTGTTATTATTTCTCAAAAAGGAAAGTATGTGGCTACCAAGATCAAACAATGCAGGAAAGAAAGAGACAGGAAGTGGTTCAGTGGCAGTTGCAATAGACAAAGACAAAGGAAGCCAACATGCTCTTAAATGGACCATCGAGAATCTTGTTTCTCGTGGCCAAACCATTTTTCTCATTCATGTCCTCTCAAAATCACATTCCTCTTCTTCTTCAGGTTCTAACTCTTCGATCTCACATTCATCATATTAGGTTTCTTCTTCTCCACGGAAAGAACCCAAAGTTTTGTTTCTTTATGTTTCAGATATTGAAGAAGTAACGCCACAGCAGAAGAAGCAAGCAGAGAAGCAAGCCAAAGATCTCTTCGTATCCTTCCAGTGCTTCTGTTCCCGTAAAGAGGTCTTTGAGAATCAAACCCTATCCTTTTAGGGTTTGGATCTTTTAACAATTTTTTTTTAAATATTTCTTGGAGCAGATAAACTGTCAAGACATATTACTTGAAGATGTAGACAAAGTCAGAGCCATTACTGAATATGTTTCATCTTCCGCAATAGAAAACTTAGTCGTTGGTGCTGCATCACGTAATGGCTTCATGAGGTATATATATATATATATTATAGTCTTTCTTCTTTCATATTTTGTAACCAAATCTTGAATATATATTGATTAATGTTCTATGAGCAGACGATTCAAAACGGATTTGCCAACAAGTGTGTCAAAGTCAGCTCCAGATTTCTGCAATGTTTATGTCATTTCAAAAGGAAAGATTGCTTCTGTAAGAAACGCATCTCGTCCTGCTCCATATAAAAGTGCAAAGCAGGTTTCTGAGATTGAAAATCAACAACCAACTACTCCTGATGAGAATGCACCAAGGCACCATGATCATAGCCATTCTGCTGGTAGTACACCATCTAGGCCACGTAGATCAGTTGAATACGATGCTATAAGGTAAGAAGAACATCTGAAGCTATTAAACTCATGTCTTTGTTGTTTTCTTTAGTCTAAAAGATTCAAAACATTTTGTTCTGTTTTTTTGTTTTGTTTTGTTTTGTAGATCACCTTTAGTGAGACGACCCGGCAGACCATATGGAGACTTCTGTGATTCAGATAGTGACCTTTCATTCATCAGTCCATCTTCACATAGAGAATCTCATGACATTTCTTTCATCAGCTCAGGGAGACCAAGTGTTGACCGCTCTTCATTCACTCTTGATTTTCCTGAATCTGGAAGGAGTTCAAGAATTTCAACAAGCTCAGAGCAAAGCATTGGGTCACATCGCTTGGGGATTAAGTTCAGTGATCCTAGTTTCCCTAATGATTCATCTACAACATTCTCTGAAGAGAGTGCTGCAACATCTTCATATTCATCTCAAGGCTTGGTTAGTAGTAGCAGTTTTACACAAGATCCTTTCATATGGAGGGTTCACTTACATGTGTGTCTTGTTTGTGTTGTTGCAGGATGATGTTGAAGCTGAAATGAAGAGGCTGCGTCTAGAGCTGAAACAAACCATGGATATGTATAGTACTGCCTGCAAAGAAGCTTTAAGTGCTAGACAACAGGTAAATAAGACACATCAGGCATTGATCATCTGAAACAACAGTTTGGTTCTGTTTAATGTAGTGGAGGGAGATTAGTACATGTAAAGTGAAAGTTGTCTTATTGATATTTTAGGCGTCAGCGCTGCAAAAGCTGAGAACAGAAGAGGAAAGAAGGTTGGAAGAAGCAAAGAATTCAGAGGAAGCAGCAATGTCAATAGTGGAGAAGGAGAGAGCTAAAGCCAAAGCAGCCTTGGAAGCTGCAGATGCTGCAAAGAGATTAGCAGAAGTTGAAGCTAAGAGAAGAGTGACTGTAGAGATGAAGGCTTTGAAGGAATCAGATTCCTTCTCTCATGGATTTGTTCGGTATAGGAAATACACAGTTGAAGAAATAGAAGAAGCCACTTCAAATTTTGATGAGTCTAAAAAAGTTGGAGAAGGAGGCTATGGTCCTGTGTTTAGAGGCTATCTTGATCACACCAGTGTTGCTGTTAAGGTTCTACGCCCTGATGCAGCTCAAGGAAGATCACAGTTTCAGAAAGAGGTAATAAGAAAAAACATTCTTAAAACAAACAAACATATGTTTTAATGTTCTTTTTGCAGGTTGAAGTGTTGAGCTGCATAAGGCATCCAAACATGGTGCTACTTCTTGGAGCTTGTCCAGAATTTGGGATCCTTGTTTATGAATACATGGCCAAAGGAAGCTTAGAAGACAGACTTTTCATGCAAGGCAACACACCACCAATTTCTTGGCAGCTACGTTTCAGAATAGCTGCTGAGATAGCCACAGGACTACTCTTCCTCCACCAGACCAAACCTGAACCAATTGTCCACAGAGACCTTAAACCAGCAAATGTCCTCCTAGACTACAACTACGTGAGCAAGATCAGCGATGTAGGGCTAGCCAGACTAGTCCCTGCAGTGGCAGAGAACGTTACACAGTACCGAGTCACATCAGCTGCAGGAACGTTCTGTTACATTGATCCTGAGTACCAACAGACAGGAATGTTAGGTGTGAAGTCAGATGTTTATTCGCTAGGGATCATGCTTCTGCAGATCTTGACAGGGAAACAGCCGATGGGTTTGACTTATCACGTTGAGCAAGCGATAGAAGAAGGGAGGCTTAAGGATATGCTTGATCCAGCAGTAACGGATTGGCCTATGGAAGAAGCTATGTGTTTAGCAAAGCTTGCGCTTCAATGCGCAGAGTTGAGAAGAAAAGATAGACCTGATCTTGGGAAAGAGTTGTTGCCTGAGCTTAATAGGTTAAGAGATATTGGTGAAGAGAGTTTAGGGAATGTGGTTTATGGAGGAAGTCATGGGAAGTCTGCAAACACTAGCCAAGTCTCCATCTCATCATCTGTGAGTTTTTTTTTCTTGTTCTAAAAATTCTCCTTAGGTTCTAACATTTTTTGTGGTTTTGTAACATTTCTTTTGTTTCTTTCTTGTAGTGTGATCCTTTTATAACGAGCTCAGAATCTCTTCCACCTGAAGAATCTTAATCCTAGTATTGGGATATAGAGAAAGCAAATCTTATAAGTGATTTTGTATGTTTGGAATCATCGTGTTGAGTTTTAACAGTGAGGATTTGCAGGAGTTAAAACAAAGGAGAGCAAATTTCTTTGATGTTCATCAGAAGCTTGAAGAGGAAGTTAGGGTAGAGGGCCCTAGAGAATCTGTTATTCTGTGAAAAGTTCGATATTGTAATGGCTTCAATGTATTAGGCCAATAAAAGTTTAAACCCATTCATCTGTAGTTGTGAGTTTTTTGAACAATCAATATTTTATGAAATAACTGATCAACTAGGTAATAACCCGCGCGGAATGAAATTATTAATTTTGTTACTTTTAAGATAAAATGATATTATGTCTGTTTAGCATGAACATTAGTTCAGTTTTACGTTATTCTTTTAATCTCCTAAAATATAACTATCATTCTAAATCTATATTTATTTTGTTTTCTTTTTTGTTTAAATGTTTGATATTTTTCGTGGGGATTAACCTATATATTTTCAGAAAAATAGAAAGAATGATATTTTTGTTTTAATGTATATATACATCATGTAATGACATAATATGAAAATTAAAGAGGTTTGAGATCTTAGGGATTCCTATTTTTCTAGAAAATAAAGATTTGATAAGGGTTAGTCCACTGATTACGTGGTATTGAAATTTAAATAAATTACTCATTGAAAAATTAAAAATGATGTCTATATACCATGAAAATATGTTTAGTATTTATTAGTATAAGTTTACAATGTAGCTAGATATTTTTAAAACAACACTAAAGAGGCTAAACTCTTATAAATGAATATATATTGGAAAAAACATGATCTC